GGGGGGGGGGGGGGGGGGGGGGGGGGGGGGGGGGGGCTTTTGGAAGCTAACTTCCTCTGATGATGCAGAAAAACTGGCAGTTTATTTCTAATGTATCCTAACAGTGGTGATTATTTACTTTTCTTCAAATGGGATCTTCCTCCAGTTGGACAGACCAGACTGCATCACACACAAGTCCATGAACAGATTACTGTCCAGCTACCTGCCCAAGCACTGGATAAGAGCACAATTGTCAAATTTACAATTAGTTGTCAAGATAACAGCATAATTCAATGCAGATTTTATATCCAGTTATCCACCTGGATGTTTTAATGGATCCATTTGGGTAAAGGTTGCACAAAAGTAAGTGTAGAACAGCACAGCCATCCCACAGGAACTTGAACAAACCAGGAACTTGCAGGTACAGTATGTGTCCCAAACCAGCACATGTTGGATGCCAATGCAAAGTGAAAGGGCTAAAAAGTCCCTGAAACAATGCCAAGCATTTCTTTTGTAATAGCAAGGAAACAAATTATACATTCAGTAGCACTATTGGGTACCATTATAAAAATACAGAGTAAATCTCCCTTGTGCTTCCAGAAGAACTTCCGGTTAAGTGAGCTGTGCATTCGGACATGCCTTTCCACACACCAATGTACTGAACTGTTATTTGTGCACTTGTGGACTACCTGTGAGCTCAACGACCCTCCTCATTCTTCTTTGACCTCTCTAAATATCAATGTGTTTGTTTCTCAACATAACTGCAACTGACTGGATATGTTTTGCTCATCACACCCTTCTCTGTAACATCTAGACACTGGTGTATGTGACATTCCCAGTACGGGGGCTGTTTCTGAAATGCTAGAACCACCCCCACCTGGCTCCAACAATCACACCACCCTCAAAATTACTCAGATTATGTAAATTAGCTTTTCTAATGCTAAGCTGCACAATAACTAAATTTCTTGACCCTGTCAATGATTCCACATAATTTGCTGTTTGATGGAAGCATGCTGTTTGGATTAACAAGCAAATATAGCTAATAAAGTAACCAATGAGTATATATTTGAAAGCCTCATATAACATAAGCTACATATTAAAACACAAATTTATGCAGTAACATTCAACTTTCATTCAAGACTGTAAGATGATCAATAATTAATTTCATAATACAGGTTTCAACTTGGCAATATTGTTTTTACCTCACAGGCTGGCATCTGTAGTTGCTGAAGTCACAGAAGTGCTTGCCATTATTTTGACCGATGGCAAAAGTTCAATCAGTTTTAAGAAAGAGACTTTGTGCAGCAATGCCGATGTTTATACACGAACACATACGTACACATACATACTCTCCAGTGGCCTGTACTACGAAGCGGGGTTACTGGCTTATCGGGGTAACTTGTCGGATTTAAGGTACCACCGTTTAAATGGACTTCATATTCGTTCACATACGTTTTGCGCAGACTACCTTAAATCCGACAAGTTACCCCGATAAGCCAGTAACCCCGCTTCGTAGTACAGGCCACAGATGTGTAATTTCCTGTTAGACCACAATGTAAAAATAAAACATACACACTAACTCAAAGGTACAATAATTTTCAACACAGAAACCAAAGAATTTGCAGTACCTTATGCTATCAGCATTTGAAAATGTGATGGGCTGCTGATGACCATTATAACGTAAGGAAATGGCACCATCACGTGGACAAATATATTACAACAATCTTATCATTTGGTTCAGGTTAATGTGTTTGATTGTTTTCCTGTACAGTTCAGTAGTTGGCCTTGACAATTTTACACCAGCGTGTTCGAATTGTTTAATAATAATTAAAAAAAAATTTCTAAGATACTTTCATTCTATTCCATTAACAGTGCGTAACTCCCTGTAGTAATATAGGTCGAGTTTTTTTCAGTAAAGTTAAAAAGAATGTTTTAATTTATCAAAATAATAAGTTAACCAAATCAAATCGCAATAAATATGAAAGATCTCCAAAGTATCGTTCCTTCATCCAATTGTCTTGGGGCCAACAATTTACACAACTGTCCGAAATTAAGAGCAATTTTAAATAGATTTGATCTTAGATTGTGCGTACGATCAAATCCACGCCAATGATCAGATTCTTTGATGTAGAAAAGCAGTTATACCCACGTCAGGTTCAGACTTGGCGTACAAACTTTTCCTTGTGGCAGTGTTGGGGTACTGTACGTACCAGCATGTCAGCTTAATTGATTCAGCATAATAATAACAAAATAATAATAATAATAACAGACATGTTGTTGTGGTTTTATTGCCAGGTTCAACACATAATTGAGGCCTTATGTGGTTTGCATAATATAGTTATCAATAAATTAAAGCGACGTTGGATAGGCTAATTGAGGAAAACAATACAAACTCGTACACTGGTTTTCCAAACCCAATTAGCGCAACTGACACATATTTGAAGAAAAAGCCATTTAATATGCATATTATGGTTCCACAAGTGTAAACCATTTCGGTCAATCCATAAGCTGTAAAAGGTTCAAAAACGCTGAGGTTTGTAAGAGGAAGAATGGCAGCATTGCTCAAGGCGCAATAACATGGGAACGGCTTTTGAGAACGGGTGGACTACTTTGCGTATCATTACGATATTGATAAGCAGCTTCGTTCCTAGAGCTTTGTGGCCAGATGCCCCCGATTTTACAGAGTACGAATGTTACGAAAACGCAATACTTCGGTACCAAGTCGATACAAAAATTCTGAAAACATGACAGCCCCCATTTTCTACGGTACCGTAAGAACTGGAGATGTTATTCTGTTGGACCTGATGGGAACTATCACTGCAGGATGTCAACCATGGATCCGCACGTGGGCAGCGTTGAAAGCCAATTACAAGAGCAACTAAAAACTAATGGTGTTCAGTTCCTGTAAAGTGTTTTTCCAGTGTCAATACAGACCATTAAAGGTAAACGGCCATTTTATGAAAATTTATACAAATACATGAGATGGGCCTTAACTTTCCATAACTGGTAAGGATTCAGGTTTGGCGGTTGGTCCTTTATTACTTTAATAGTTTATCACGGCTGACTCTGATCCTGTAGTGACAGTGCCTACAAGTGTTCTAGGCCTTGTCCATACATACGTGGGTATTTTTAACAATGGTGTTTTTCCTCATCCATATATAAAAAAAAATAATCACCGTCCACATGAAAAGGTTTACGCACTGTGAAGAACATACCAAACCAACAGGCGGCGATGTAACTTTAACTGTAGAGCTATGTTGGCCAATCAGAATCCTTACGGTTGCTGCACTCCATTCACCAACATTAGCAATATCAGCGGATAACAACAAATTATGCGGTATTTTGCGCATAAAAACACAATAGCAACATTTCCACAGATAGCGCTAGGACAGTACCGTGTGTATGACCGATTTAATCAGCCACAAATAAGACGTAAGTGCAAATAAACAGTGTAAAACTACAGCTATAACTTCTGTTGATAAAGGGCGCTGTCATCTTGAATTCTGAGCTAGTATGCTAACAGCAAACGGCCCACACTCTGATGTCAGAGTAGATAATGGCACACACTCTGAAAACGGAGTTTTACAAAAGCTCATTTTCAGTGATCTAAAACGCTGATTGCGTGTGGACAAACGGCCAAAATGCATAAAAAAGGCTAAATTTTTACATATACCCGTTTCCGTGTGGGCAAGGCCCTAGTCTCCATCTAATGCCCCCCATTTAAAAAAATGTAAAAGTAGGACATGCCCGAAATAAAATGTTTGTTACTCTTGACCCACTTTTACTACATTCACAAACATGGTCTGGCTCAAATCCTGACAGTAGGGAAAAGTTAAATCGCAAATCGATTTCTAAACTTATTTCTTGTAGGCTACGAATACAAATACCTTTACTGTAAAGTTTTTTTTTTTTTCAAAGTTATCGACCTATGTTACATTTGTTTTTAAGCTTGTTGCAGTTCGTGATACTATTGCTATGTCGATTGACTGTTACCATCTCGAAAACTGTAAATAAATATGCAGCCTAAATAATGCCTTATGTCATGTCCTTTAGAGGTAAACTCTAAATCCATTCAGCTGCTCACGATTTTGCAACAATTGGCCATTCGTAGGTTGCCCGACTGGGAGAGAGGCATACACACTTTTTGTGTGTGTGTACTTTCATTTGCTATGAATCACACTTCCAAACTTTTCTGAAATTATGTTAAACCAAATGTAGAATGGTTTCTATGCAGCTGCTTTATAAATTTGGCCCCAGGACTGCTCAGTAGGAAGCCCATCAACAAATTACATAATGAAGGACTGGATGAAACAAACCATTTTCTTGTCAGAGGAAAACAGTTTCATGGAATTCTGCCACCAGGAAGAGGGAACTGTTTTGAAGGGCACTTCTCTTTTGGCTCCCTGTGATTGTATCACTATGGTGGTTGGAAAGTTTGGCTTGCCAGGACAGAATGACAACATTCAGATAAAATTGATGTATATTTACTCCCTATTCATATGTAGCATGCTATCACAACCCAGTATCTAGTAGCAGCAGCAGTTCTTAGCCTAGGAGCTGGTCCTTATTTACTATCAAGTCTATGTTATAGTTCAGTTTCATTTTTAAGCTATGGAGCCTGGAAAGCGGAATAACCTTGGACTGAGAAACACAAAGGATTCCCCGCATCTCTAAGGGTGCAATCGTTATAGAGTGTTGCAAGACTTTACTTGTGAAACAAGGTATTCTCACGGAAGCATTCCATAATATCCAACTTAAGGGGTATTCCAGAACAGGGGAAGATCATTATGGATTCTTGGAATTCAAAATCGTAATCACATGCATGAACAGAGCTAATTAGTTAAAGGGGAATAGTTAGGCACTGATGTATCCTGCACACGCAAGGGTGACAATGATAGTACTGTAGTAAATCCTCTGGTGGGAGCGCTGCAATCGCGTGACTAGCCCAGAAGGCAAAGTATTTTTGCTATGGCAGTATGAAAAATATTATTCTTCTGAAGAATAGTACATAGTAGCGGTTGGCTACAGTGTCCATGTTTCATGTTATATTTCATGAGTATGATGCCTATCCCATGCCTGAGGTCAAAAATGTAATTAGATAATTATCTGCCTTTTACAACAGTCTGGAGGGCTTTTGCAACCATGCCCCCCAGTAACTAAGAAATTTGAATAGGGGAAAGTTCTGAAATGACAAAATATACCATGCTGCGTGTTGACATGCTTGCATGGAGCAATGCTGCCTTCCAGCACGACTCACCTAAGGACGGACTTGACACCATTAAGAGGAACAGCGTGAGCCTCATGATTAGTCAGAAGAGGCAGGTGAGGACTTTTCTAAGCTTGTCACTGCAGATGGTTCACGCCTAGTTTAATGATTCAATATGCCGATTACATATTTATTCACTTATTCTAGCAATTTCCTTTATGGAAGAAGTTCTTAGTGGTTAAAGGCATCAAGATAAGGGGGTGTGTTGCATACTTAAAAATAGTACTCAATTTTTGTAGCAGACACAATAAAAACCTATCCCAGGTCATATAAGATATGCATTTCCTCAACCTAGCTCAGTGTAAAAATCTATTCAGTATATTTTAGGGGAAAATAACATGGAAAATCCTAATTTCAAATACAAAAAGGAATGTCTAGCAATCACATGAGCCATATGAGTATAAAGCATTATACTCACATAGAAATTAATCTTGGGACTCCCTGGGTGAATATTAGGTCTTTGCAGGCCTAATATTGGAAAGTGTTCTGCTACTCACAGTTCACTGGGCTGGATCCTAGACAGTGCCTGGACTTGTTCTCAGACAGTACATGAAGCCAGCCGCGGAGTATCCCCTTATCAGTCCCTTCAGGATCTCCAGGCGGTCTCAGTTACAAGAAATATCCCAAAGAAAACAGGTCTATTTGAAATATGTAGGTTAGATGTGGATTCTGATAAGACCAGGAACAAAATTTAGGAGCAAAATTGGCTCAGGATTGTTTTGGTAGTCGACTGTTGTGCTTTCAGTTGTGTCCGTGTTTGATGTTTGTTTTAATCCACTGCTGATGCAGGTGTGCTCTATCAACTTATCTATCATCTTTTTTTTCCAAAATTATGTTCACATAAATTCCATGACCTTGGCTAGGATAAACAAATAGAAGATGGATGGATGGATGGATATTTCACAAAGTTTTGGCCATCATCTTGTTCTCAGAAGAGTCTAACAATTCCATAAAAGGGGTGGGTAGTGTCTTGAGAGTTAGGTGACCAGCTTTGGTGTGATGAATGCTTCTACCGGTTCCTATGATGCATAATAATTAGTATGTTCTCTGTGCCCCCCACCCTAGTAACATGAATGAAGCCACAAAACACAATTAACTCTGTGTGCCCATCCCACAGGCAAGTGGCAACACCAAGCTTTTCCTGCCCCCACCTTGATTCATTTCTGGTCCAGCTGAAAGGATAGCTTCTTTTTTAGTGTGTGCTGCTCACGTGTTGATGGCCAGCCCGTTTCCCCTAGAAATGACACTATTTCCCAGACATATAAATCCCAGTCCCCAGCCCCATGTAATAAGGTCATGTCTTCTGACCAGGCCCGATGCCATTTCTCACACTGGAATTCTTAGCCCACTAGGAGCACCTTTAGAGAGACCCATGAAAGCCCATCATATTGGGCCCCCAACCCAGATCATTCCAATTATATTCGAAATATTTTAGGGTCCCTGTCACTCAAAGACCCTTGGAATTATCCCCCCCCCCCCTTTACAACATTCCTGCACCCCATGTACAATACGCTTTTTAAATACTGGAAAATGCTGTATAGCAGTCAGTCACAATTTCATACAAATGATGTAACAACAGATTGCCACAAATTCTTCTGAAGTATCTTGGGGTGGCTATGTAGTGAAAGCTGAATTGAATTGAATTGAATGGAATGAATTGAATTGGTAAAAATCCTAATACAAATGGGGGTGGCTCTGAGGCTAGAGATCTGTGCTGGCAATAGGAAAGTTGCTGGTTTGAATCCCATGAATGCTAGGACTGGTTTTACTCTATTGGTCCCTTAAGCAAGGCCCTGAACCTGCAATTGCTCCATCCTGGATATGACACTAACCTACATCCAGCCCTGCAAGCAGGTCCTCTAGCTTTTCGGGTAAATTTGGGGTGGTGGCAGGTTTGGCACTCCAACCACCGGAAAAAACCTCACACTATTCCATTCCATGGCCCTGTGGTTTGGCAGGTTAAGGAAACAGTTAAGTAGGCAAGACCCAGACCAGAGTTCATTTATAAAAACAAATTAAGCTAAAACAAAGTAGTCTTACTCAAGTATCCCGAGGAACAGTAACAAAAGAAACCAAACAACTGGAACAAGAAAGCAAATATCCCAGCCCCCTAACACACTTCTTTCACCCTTTCTCTAGTCCTGCAATTGCAGTGGATGGGAAGCGTTTGGGACTGAATTGGGAACCATTCCCTGGCACCAGATTGAAGGTTACTCCAATAACCACAATCCATTATGGAATTTTCCCTGTGGGCCGGTCTTGTGAATGCCAATCTTTCTTCCTAAATCCCGTGATTACCCTGGAGTACCCCTCCTGTCGGTCTATCTTAGCGTGTTTCAATGGTTCAGAATGAAATAAGTATCTTGAAACCTAGCTGCAGCTCATTGTCTTTGGAAAATGGTCCAAAGAATACAAATCATTTGATTCAGTTTGCAATTAGTTATGAAAAGGCTTACTGCCCCCTAGTGATTAATGTGATAAGCACATCCAAAAATATGTAATTTTTCATTTGTAATACAGCGATCCCCCGCCTTTGCGGAAATTACGTTCCAGACCCATCAGCGATAGGTGAAAATCCGTGATATAGAAAGACCATATAAATAAACATTTTTTATAGTTTAAGCCTTAAAATACCCCTCCCACATGCTTTAAACCAGGGGTGGGGAACCTGATCTATGAAGAGCTGGTGTGGATGCAGGTTTTGGGGATGGCCTCTCAATCAGCCAATCACAGTGGGTCCCCAGGACTGGAGTTGAGAACCACTGCTTTATTATTGGCTGATTGAGAGGCCATCCCAAAAACCCACACGCACACCGGCCCTCCATGGATCAGGTTCCCCACCCCTGGTTTAAACACATGTAAACTTATTAAAACACACTTTGTAAACAAATATGATATGTGGATATTGGGCTAAGGATATCAGTAACATAATAATAATAATAATATGTAATGTGTGTATATATATATATATATATATATATATATATATATATATATATATACACACACACACACACACACACACATCGCAGGGAACTGTGATGCATTGGGGAAAAATCTGCGATATAGCGGGGGCGCGATAGCTGAACCGCGACATAGCGGGGGATCACTGTAACATCTTTGTCTGATTGAGGAATATCATATATGCAAACAGATAAATGCAAATTAACACACACAATGTAATGAGACCAGAAATCTGCACAATAATTTTTATATCATATATAAACATATTTTATATATGTTTTTATCAGAATCAGAATGAGGATTATTAGCCATGGAAGTTTACACAAGACAATTTGTCTCGGCATGGTGCTTGCAGTGAAACATAAAAACCAGGGAACAGATTACAGACAACAGTCAACTTTAAACAACATTAAAATAGTAAATAAGTTAATGTGTGTCCTATGGTGCAGTTCTGGATAGTACAATAGTAATTAGGTACATGTATATTAGCAAGTGTCTATTGTCAGTCAAGTGATCACGAGGGAAAGAAGCTGTTTTGGTGACTTGATCCTGGTTTTTAGTGCCCAGAATCTCGACGATGATTATGCTTACTAATTTTTTGAAGTTCTGAAGGTCCTGGTGAGAGGGAAGCCAATGATTTTCTTAGCAGACCTGATGATGCATCTGGTCTTGTGCCAACTGTTTTGACTGCATTAACTATATTACCAAAGTCTACAGCTTATGAAACTAATGGAAAAGTGATAAAAAAAAAAACCTTTGACTGGTAGTGTAGATGGAATGGAGTATGGTTGTATCTACAGGACACTAATACAATGAAGAGTTATATTCTACAGTACATTCTGTACTGGTTTCAGCATAAGCTTCCTTAGATATGCTGCAAAGTGCTTAACCGGATCTGGTGGATGCTTACCCACAAAGCTGTCTGTCACCCTCTCAACCATATTAGGCTTTAATTAACCATTTGCACAAAAATGTTCTTAAAAAGTGTTTATACACAGAGTAACAGCTATTGTGATCCAAAAATTGAAACAACCATCTAGACCGTGTGTTTAGACAAATGAGATCCAAAACCGGCTTGAGGAAAAAAACCTGTTAAAGCAAGCATTCCAGAAGATAAAGATAAGACAGACATAAGACAAAGATAGGATAAGGCTGTACTGTTAGTGTATTGTCTACAACAAAATGTTGTGTGGCATCTAACAGACAGAAGACAGCAACAGGTACAATGATTAAAAAAAAACAAAAACAATAGAAGCAACTCTAACTTAACGCAACAATAGGCAGCATTTGGTGCAAATAAACAAGTGAAAAACAGTATGGTGCATAATCAAAATGAATTGGAAGTTGGAAATTGGACTCTATGAAGTTATTCTGCAGTCACTTCTACTAAATCTTTTTAGAGAAGAATCCATAAAGAGTAACCATAGCCTGATTACTATAGAGTGACTTATTACATAATTTACAGAATTTTGCAGTTACACGCAAAAAAGTGCTTAAGAGGGCCATTGGAATGCATATATGATACAGTCGTGGTATTTATCACATTTATTCATGTCTAAAAGACCAGTTAACAGCTACCAGAGGGGCAACATAGCAACAAGGGTTGTCATGCGGTGGAATTCTTTCAGGGAGCTGTTCCAGGTGTCAACATTCCTCCCTCAAGACATAACAAATTACTTTTTTTTAATGACCGACCATTCTGGGTTCATGGGCAAGACGTTTGACTGCCTGGATAAGTCTGTCTGTTTACATCACATAGATCCTAATGTCTTTCTGTCTGACATTCATTCTTGCAAACAGAAGTGTGTGGAATGAGCGACAAAGGAAGGAATAAGCAACTGAGACAGGAGTGAAGAAACCAGCTTATGGAGGAGGGGTGTTTGTGGAAAAGCCAGTGGAAATACAAACAGGAAGAGGCAGCATGCAGACTCTTGACCTGAGAGATATAGTAATATTCTTGTACCTGATTACCACCTGTGACGTAGGCCTATCTGTCCTCATGGAAATTGAGAGGGCTCAGTTCCTGCTCCTTTTTACTTTAACCAGCCCCCGCAGCCTAATTGAGAGCTATCCACTAATACCTCCTGCGCAATCCTCTTAGTTTGCATGTACTGTTTCTAAGATGGTCACCAGGATTCCAGTATCTTATTCTGGGAAAGCTCCCCCTTGGCCCTGCCCATCCAACGTAAACACTCACTTTCATACAGAAGGACATGGAACCACTAAGACGGCACCTGAGTACAACAGCACCACCAGCCAAAGGAGGAAATCCACAGTAAGTCCAACCCCACAGTAAGTCAGCAGAAGTTCAGGCCTTGCCAAAAAGATTGCACATGCTCAAGAACATATTTAGCTAGAGATAATGGCTGATTATTGATTACAATTAGTTACAATTTATTGGTCGTCTAATCTGTCAGCACTGTAGCCAGTATTTACCTTAAAATAAGATGAAGATTAAGATTAACTTTGTTGATCCCAGGGGGAAATTCTGGCACAAGAACACGATGAATAAAGCATGTTCAATGCAATATTATCTATATTCTTAAATATCAAGATTGCATCTGTAGTGTTTTATGTAGCATTTATCCACTAAAAGAAAAGTTTGCTTTCTTGTTTTAAGTAACTAAAAGATGGAATTTAAAGTTGTTCACTTGTCAGTTAGATTTCCAGTACAACCAGTATATCCAATGGCTTTGTATTTCATCACCATGTTACTTCATTGAGTAAAACAAACTATATATACAGTAGGCACATGCTGTATTTTTCATGCTTCATGAAAATAATTGACTATGTTTTTGTGTTGTACAAAGGCTAGAGTACTGGTTTAGAGTATTGGTATCGTTATATTGGCCAGGCGTCCATGCTTATATGAAGAGTTCAGAAACCTTTACGTATGCATTTTAGATATGTTTACTATATTTGCTCGATGTGAAAAAAAATGCTATGCTTCTGAAGACAGGAAACAGATGGATGGATGGATGATGGATGGATGGATGGATGGATGGATGGACGGATGCATGCATGCATGCATGCAGCAGCATTATGCAAACCAAATTTGTGGGTAGGCACCATTTGAAATCCACACACAAGACATAAAAAATACATATATTAATATTTTTAAAACTTAATGTAACTATTATACAGTCGAACATGTCCAGCTAACCTTGTTTACTGTGGCTGAGATGTGAGTTGTGAATGTTACAACGTGTCAACTTGTTGATGATGTGTAGAGTTATCGGTAGAAGATGGGAATGATGAAGGATGGGGGAGGGGATTAAGAGATGTGATCCGATGGAGGAAACTCACTCATTGGCCGGATTACCCTGACTGCCAAGTTTAAAGATTTGTTAAAGCACAATCTATGTAGGCATGTTATTGGCTGACTGAATAATTAACTTACACTTTACATTTGTACAAAATATTGGGTAGGCCTAACTAAATTGATTGGCACAATGCTGATGGATGGATGGATGGATTATTTTAGTCATGAAACAAACAAGGCGGTACTATATATTATGACAATCATGTCTGAGCTTGCATTTTTAAAAACATCAAAGAAGAATTTCCTTAACTTACAAGCGTATTAGTAATTATAGTATTGCGCTACAATGTTGAAACTGAGGCTTCACTAACTCACCGCAGTGTGCATCCGCTGATTCCAGGCTGATAACAACCCCCCACAGCCAACAATCAGAAACCAAGATGACCACAAGCTTACCACAGCACGAATACCAATTACACAAATTGGATGCAAACTCATAATCCCATGTCAACCTAAATATCTTTAAATGTTATTGACACAAGCCTACAGTACATTGCAGAGATCAATTTGGAACTATACAGTAGCTTTAATTGTTTAAAATTTAATTGAATTAATTACAGGTATATACAGTGACCTGGCCTGCATTCCATGGAGAGAAACTTCAGCCCATTGGGGTCAGACAAGGCAACTGAGCAGATGTTTGAAAACTGATACCAGTAGATTTCAAAGTATACAAATCCATTATTCTTGTTTTTTCACAGTTCACACAAGGAAATGTCAGGCCTTGCTCTGGTTGAGGATGAACTATCTGCAAGCCACACAGGTAACAGGAAGTTATTATTTCTGTGGGATGAAAGAATTGGAACTCCGGTTTGACATTGATAGAGGGCAGTTCAAACAGTGGCTAACATTACCAGTATAGTATAAAATGTGTAAGCAGTATAAACACTATGCACTCTGGATCTCCAGAAACCCAGTCTTTTACAGTGCTAACATAAACAGCTGCCACACAAGTTGATGATGGCTCTCAGATGTTTGCAGTCCATACTATGTCCTGTAGGAGAAAACACTTCAGCAAAAGGCTGCTGTGATATAATGCATTTGGTCATCTGACAGACACTCTAAGCAGATTTTCTCCTTTTGCCAACCAGCCTTGGATTAAGGAACAGTCTTACAATACATGTTTGTGTTCAGTCCATCAGCCTTCATGAAGCTGACAGGACATCAAGCCGCTTTCACAATGATTCTGCCCGTCTTTTATGCCCTGTCCATGTGAGACTATTCAAAGCCCACAGCAAAGATGGCCCCAAAAGGGAGAAAGTGGCGATGGTGGGTTTTATCATTTGACGTCTCCTCTTAAATTACTCAAGGTCCCAAGGGGGTGATCAACGACTGGAGGAAGTTCAAACTGGAGAGCCTAGACCGGGACGCGCAGCCTTCCAGCAAGCATGAGCTCCTCCGGCAAATGTCTTCACCGCACAGGTCCAAAGAGAAACTCAATCGCAAGGTCAGTGGAGACACACGGGGTGTTTACCAATATGCATACTTCACTGTTCTTGTCTTCTCGCGCACCCGTTTGACATCATCTTCCATTGTTGAAGTACAGTTCCAATGCTCAAGAACAGAAATACAGAGGAAAGTAAAAATCCCCAGATGTTATTCTTGCTCAGCCCCAAATTTCAATGATGCATCAGTTGCATCCTTGCCAATGAGAATAACCCCATGATTCCTTGCATCGTAAGTTAGCAAGAAAGCTCCTTCCAGGAACACAGGTATGTTCTTTGTGTCCTTGGCATTCATAAACACCCACACAAATACCTGAGAGGCCTGTAATATTAACAGGCCCTATGCCATTATGGTGCACACAAAAGGACGGAAGGACAAAACATTGACTTTCTCTACAATATGGGGGGGTGGACCGTTTCCAAAATCCAGTTTGCAAAGATGCCCAAAAGCGATGCTGGTAAATATTTTAAAATGAGCGGCAGGTAGCAGAGGTTTTAAAGTATTTCAAAAAAGACAATAGGTTCCAGTTTAGGGAAAATATTGTAGTATTGCGTCCGCAAGTAATGTGTTTAAGATCATAAGAAAAATACACAGAATCTTAATTAAATTTCTGCATTTGAAATTTGTTGTAAGCCCTGAGAATTTGATAGTACAGGGATCCGAATAGGTACCAACTTTGTAACTGAAACATCACAGGGACAGCAAAAAATGTATGTCGAAATAGGTGACTTTATATTCTGGTGGACTTTTCCAATATTAGACTGGCCAAACAGGTTTTGACTAAGTGTCAAAGATGTGCCTTTAGCCCCCCCCCCCCTCACACACACACACACACACACACACACACACTAAGTGCATGGTTGGCCTGACAGATGAGCATGCAGGAGTATGAGCTGATCAAGGACGAGGACGAGCAGTGCCTGCGCAAGTACCGCAAGCAGTGCATGCAGGAGATGCATGAGCGCCTGAGCTTCGGGCCCAGGTTCGAGCGCCTGTACGAGCTGGAGAGCGGGGAGGCCTTCCTGGACGCCATCGAGAAAGAGCACCGTCTCACTGTGGTGGTGGTGCACATCTACGAGGACGGCGTCAAGGGCTGCGAGACTCTCAACCGCTGTCTGACCTACCTGGCTGCCGAATACCCCAGCGTCAAGTTCTGCAAGATCAAGGCTTCGAGCACCGGGGCAAGTGACCGCTTCTCAGACAATGTGCTCCCCGCTTTGCTGGTGTACAAGGCGGGAGAGCTTTTGGGCAATTTCCTGTGTGCCACCCAACAGCTCAATGAGGAGTTCTACGCCATGGATGTGGAGGCGTTCCTGAATGAGTACGGCCTGCTGCCAACAAAATACTTGACGGCCGAGGTCAAAGATGAGGAAGAAGCTGGTGTGGAATGAAGCCGTGGTTTTTCAGAATGTTTCATTACTGTTTTTATAGTGCAATGTAGCAGAACCTTTGCTGTCAAAAGACTGTTCTCTATGAACAAGCAAGGTAGGGGTGACCTTTCTAAATCAGAGCCCCTTTAATGACAGAATACCTCATCAATGAAATGTAAAAAGGATATTCACAATGCTTCCTGAATGTGAACAGCCTAACACTACTCATTATTGCTTTCAGTACTTTCAATATTGTCTGATAAATATTGAAATTTGTCAAACTCATCATTGAAATGTATCTTGACTGAAACTCTAATAAGTTATAATAAATATATAATAAAGAGTTGTAGAAAAGATTGATTCTGTGCTATAAGAATGTAATTACTGATATACATTGTGTGTGTGTGTGTGTGTATACAACTTGTCAAACTTGTTTCTCTCTCCCGTAGAATTCTGGGATGACATGCACTGAAAGCTTATACAGTATGCCACTTGTACGATATTTCAGGAGTGTTTCCTTTGAAAGTGATTCAGCTACTTGACATTGGTGTTTAAAACCCAGCTCATCACCATGACGCATATTGTATGATTCGAGATGTACATGTAACAGCAGGACCGCACTTGTAAGAGAGCATAGCCTGTGTTGTACGTGGGTGTGACAGAAAGGTGACCTAGCAGTTAAGCAAGTTAATGCACGCTTTACATTGCTGACTTTTTACAGTCAAGGCTCATGTAGTCACAATTTAAAGATTAGGCCCGTTAAATAAGAGCATGTACAGTATAGCCGCTAAAACGGTAACGTATGCCAAAAAGACTGATAATGACATTTTCTAAAATATTGCAGATCAAACTCCGGACTGAACCTATTTACAAATGAGAGAGTGGTATTTCAGAAGAGAAATAATTACCAGTTTTAATAACTGAAAATAGAGCTGACAGTTAAATTTGAATCCCAGTTCTTAGATCTGAAGAGTATGTTCTTTCTGTTCATTTATCATGCCTCAACAGAACTGAATAAAACTGATTAAAAGCATGGTATGTGCTCTACATCCAAAGGGGAGAAAAAAAACACGTCTCTTCTCGTAATTTAAAAGCGTGCCTCTCCATCTGTTTCCTTGACGAGACCACGCCAGAGACGCGGATTGTTTTGGACACGCATTGCAAAGCGCTTCAAGTAAACCCCTGCACTTATGCCAAGTAGGTTTCGTGCAATGAGTCTCCCCAACACCCAGCACAAGAGCGTGCCCCAACAACGTCCCACCAGCGCACCGCACACACCTTCTGAGCACCACTTCAGAGTAAGGTGGAATAGCCAGGACCTAAGCTTTTAATATCCTTACTGCATTCAGTCTTAAAATACCTTAGCGTGTAACCACTGGTATACCAGTCTGTGCCTCGGATCTTCCGTAATTGAGGTATGATGTGTTATATTTAAAAAGAATATTGCAAGCCATCAGTCCAACACTAGAGCAATCACAATAAAATCAACGATTACTGAAAAAACAGTGCACGCATTTCTACATATTTTACAGTAACAAACAAATATAATTAAGTAGATATTTAAAGTCTGTGTAAGATGTGCTGAAGAAGGGTATCACTCAAGTGAGAATTTAGACTACTGCAAGTGGCGTGTTTCCATTTGGTACTCAGCCATCTGTCCATGGCATATGATTCACAGTCTGTAATTGATAAGTTAAGTGGCAATGACCTTGATAAGCAGCTAAAATATGCATACAATGCCTTTATCGTCATTGTACAGGCAGCCAAAATAATGATGTTCAATCTTCACTCATCTTCCCTATGAGAAACAGACAAATATATACAAGTGAGAGTGAAACTGAGGGTCAGAGCACAGGGTCAGCCACTTTTCCGGAACGCCAGAGCGAGTTTCAGGGCTTACCAGACTAGCCGATGGGCCCGGTAGTTGTACGACCGCTTTTCCAGCTGCAGGATTCAAACCAACTGCAAACCAGCAGAGCCAGACAGCAGAGGGATAAACATAGAAATAAATGATACGGTACTGATATCTTCAAAACATTTCGTGGTGGGGGGCTGGACAGTCTTGCTCAGTCCAGTATAGGAGGACTAATCATTGCACTGGGATCCACACAGACCACAAGATGAGCTAACCTGTTGGCCACAGTGTCCTCATCACTGCACTGGGGCATTGGGATCCACACAGACCACAGGATGAGCTAACCTGTTAGCCACAGTGTCCCTGTCACTGCACTGGGATCCACACAGACCACAGGATGAGCTAACCTGTTGGCCACAGTGTCCGCATTTTGTAAAAGCAGTTATGTAAAAAATCTCTGGAGATCGATCAGGGTATACCTTTTGAAATCATCCCCTTGGGAAAAGTATTGTAAATCGCTAGAGTAAAAAAAGAAATTGGATGTAAAAATAAAACTTAATTGACATTGATTGGTAAAATGGATACAGAATGGATTTTGCATTTAAGGAGTTTCCATTTGGGCTAACATAACACCTGCTTTAAGCTTCACACTCCATGCCGTTATTAACGGCTCAAAATCCAAAACCTTTTTGGCAGGATCACTTGGAGCTGGCCTTTATCTCGGAGTCAGATTCTCGGCTGACCTTAGCATTTACCATCAGAAAAACAGCAGAAAGAAGCTTGTGGCAAGAAAAGCAATTAAGGCAGCTGTCACCACTCCTCCACAACAAAGAAATGCTTAGTGAGTAGCTGGGAAGGCAGAGATAAATAAGGGGTTAGGAGCGCTTGTAGCATTTTTTTTTTTCCAAAATATAAATGAGACCCATCCTGCCGCAAAGAAAGCTTCTGAAGATGATGTGTTCTCACGCAAACATCTGTGCTTTATTCAGCAAGTCAGGTGTTGTCGTAAAGGATATGAAATATGAAATAATTAAGATCTACAGTCACCCCCGTAGCATTCTGGATGAATCTGGATTTACACATATGAGTCAAAAAGTATTTTTAGGCATTACCTTATTGATTGAAAATTATGCGCAGTATAGGCAGAATTCCATTGAAATAGAAGGTATGGATCGCTAAAGTTAATTGGAAAAACAAAAGAAACATTAACTGCCATTCACATTATATTACTGAATAAAGTTTTACAAGTTCAAAATAGAACAACTGAAAATCAATTATATGTTACGTATTTCTTACAGATATTATTGCAGTATACTGTAGATAATTCAATGATATAGATCATTATAATATAGATTGTAATGTAAATGGAATCACTGGATAAACATACTAAAACATCCTGTATCTGGTGTGGCATCTTCAAACATCCCATCTTAGGGTGGACATTTCAGGGTGGACATTTGGTAGCGGTAAACTATAGTTAACTCGACCAGGCATATTATGGGGGCTCACAAGCCTGTCCTGGTGCATTATCTAGCGCAAGCGACAGTCTAATTACAGCTTAAGTTTCACAAACTTAAGTTGACACAGATACATAAAATCCAAGGGCACCACCTAGTGGCAGAACACCGCATTGTGAAACACTTCAGACTGATAACTGAGGACCTACACTGTACTTTAACTAGAGATTAATAGATTAACTGCAGAATTGGGCAAAATGGAGATCAAAATGCTAATTTTAAAGGCATCACAAATTCTAACATTTGTTTACACTGTGGCACCAATGATATTAGCAGACAGCTGAGTGTTTAAAGGTCAAAGTTGGAACCAAGTCACAACTATTGCAGAAAATACAAGCAAACAATAACTACAGTAGAACCAAAGTTTTTGGGATAACTTTTAGGTCAGCTGTTCAAACCCAGGTGCGAGGACTCTTCAGCCAATCAGTCCTCTAATTAGTAATCTAATTAGGAAGCTGCAGCGAATACCCGCATACACACCGGCCCTTTGTGGACAGGATTCCCTCCCTTGCCATGGATTGTCTTAGTGCAGGCATTCAGCACAACACACCTGAAGACTGGTCCTCTGCTTTAAGAGGCACCTGCATCTCAGGCACTAAGGCTTGAGGATCCACCCAAGACTCAATAGAAACGGGGCCCAAAACAGCATCAATTTCCAGCTCCGCTTCTGGATGAGGCACAGGATTTGTTTGCCAATAAACCCCATCACGCCATTTGGGGGCCTTCCAGTACCTTCCAGGTCTCTTTCTTTCTTTGTGCTGCAATCTGTGTCACAGCAGCCACGCGCCTCGTCATTTCCATCCACAGCCATCTACTTGGACTTGATGGCACTGTCACACGTAGCCATAGGCATGGTTGTACTGGCCCAGTTCGTACTCACCTGCAGACTTCAGCAGAGCGTGAACAGGTCTTCTGCTGCATGCTAGCACTCACAGAAGCTACAGCTGCTTTTAGGACACAGGTGATGGAAATCTAGGAATTCATAACAAGGTTTATCAGGGCACCTTGGTCCTGGAAGTGTCCTCATGTGCACCAGTGTCCGAGACACGCCGTTTTGTTCCTGGCGAGAACAAAGCTGGAACATGGCAATGTTCTAAGACTGGGTTCTTCCTCCTACTCACAGAATTGCTCCATTGAGAGACCCTGGACGCTACCAACTGCATCTGTAGTTTATCATCCTGTTTTCTGGGCATAACTGGAAGTGGGAGCTAGGCAGCTTGCTGTCATTCAAACACCTATTGAAAAAATAAAAATACCCCCCAGCAAACACACATAAACATATTACCACTTGTACTATTGTATTATATCACTGCTTGCATTTCTTTGGTCGGGGGTGGTGGTGTCACAGCACACAGCAAAAGGCCTTGTGGCACCTGGAGGTTAAGAGCATTGCTCAAGGGCCCACAGACATGTGACCAAGTCTGGGCAACTTTTGATCACAGGCACAGAGACTTATCCCACTAAGCCCCACACACTTGTTTGTATTCATATATTTGTGAGGACTGTCCATTCATTTCTATGGAACAAACCCCAATCCCAACAAGGACAATCACTCTTGATTTCCCACAATATTATATCTAGGGACAGAAACTGTCCAGAAAGACCAAAGAAGCATTGACCAGTTGACTCAAATTGAAAATCTCACGCCAGCCAGCCGACCAAAGTCGGTAACTCTGCAAATACAGAAGGCCGCACAAATCCAAGAAGCTTGTCACCTTATCTTTACAACAAACTTGCATTATGAATTAATAACAAATGCTGACAAATCAGGGATAGCTAAGGTGCATGAATCTTTTTATCCGGGAATGTTGTTCCCGGCGTTTAAATACTTACCGGATTGTATTTATTACGATTTCTTTTCACATTGAAAGTCATTTCAAAACTACAGAAGCAAATTCACCAATACAAATCCTGTTGGGCGATACCAAAAACTACAACTACAACAGTACGCTGAGGGTCACGTGTTTCCGGGTGCTGCCTTGCACGTATCGTCGGCGGTATTTTCCAAGCGTCCTTCGCTCCTACACAAATTGTGCTGCGAAGGAAACATGGCGGCGATCATGCATTTGGTGGTGGAGCACAGTGAGATAGCTGAGCTGCCCAAAGCCACCCGGGATAAATTAGAGAAGTTTCTCTGCGAGAAGCAATCCGAGATAGACTCTCTTAAATCGCGCCATGAGCGATTCAAGGTGGACAGTGGTAAGCTTCGTCGGAAATGGCAGCTTTTTAAACATTGCGCAGTTAAGGAAATTGTGGAGAAGTAATCAGGATAACTGCCTCAGTAGGCAGATAAGTATTCATTCGTAAGTTAGATATGTTAGTCCTCGTTTGCTTTAAATGATAGACGGAACATAAATCACATTTGTTAACCAGTAGCTTTTGGTTAAGTTTGTGGTTACATGAGTGACAGCCGTAGTAACGCAAAATACTAATGAACCTTTGGGCTAAAGTGCCGATAATATCAGCATCACCCACCGACTCCAAGTTGTATATATTTTGTCTTAATTGTGTGGAGCTTGATTAGATTGAAAATGTCACGTCTGCTTTATATAACGCACAAGACAAACCACGCAACCTATAATAATCACGCCCCATCTCATGAACCCAGGCCTTGCCATAAGACATTTTTGTCCTTGTTGATTCTGGTCGGCTTGTTTTCTTCTTCATAACTAGCTAGTCACCCTGGCCTTGACTGTCGTATTGACTGATTTATACTGAATCAGTCTAGATGGAACTCGCTTGTAGTTCTGTTACGCAGATGCGGTTATCAATTGTTTTTCCTCATCTAATAAAAATCTTATGTGGAATCCTAAGAGCAACAAAACTTCGAAGCCGAGAGGCATCTGGCTCAGTGTCGGGACCAGCTCTTGTCCCAAACCCAGGAGAATCACAAGCTCAAAGAAGATCTCTCCAAGATTAGTAAGTGCACTTGGTTTTCTGATTGTCCAGATCGTTTGGTTTACTTTTTTAACATAAGTTGAAATAATCAAAACCTTTGCATTTTTAGATGAGAATATGAAGAGTCTAAGGGATAAAGAACAAGAATGTGAATCTCTGCAGGAGAAACTGTCACTACAAGAGGTTAATGCTTTGGATTTTTAATGCTTAATGCAGAAACTGTGGTTTGGAAAAAAATAGGCACTAGTATTAAATATGTAGCTGAACTGATTTTTTGTGCATGTGTTTTTGACTCCATTTTAGTCCCAGTTTGTGAAAACGAAGTGTGGGCTTGAATCTGAAAAACAAGAACTTGTTCGAATGCTTGAGAAGAGATGCCAAGAAGTCGAACATCTTAGTGGTATGTGTCTCTCCTTGCATCATCATACCAAAAGTCTAACCATTTTCAGAGAGAGGAGCTGGATATCCTTATGTACCAGTCCAAACACCCCTTATGGAGGGTTTTAAGTGTCTGGAAACCATGTGCAGTGTTTGTTTTTGAACTCTTTATAGAGGATTTGAAAAGGGTTAGTGACAAATTTGCGGAGACCAATTCAACAAAGATGGAGCTCCAGTTGAAGCTGGATGAGCTTCAGTCATCTGAGGTTTCCTTCAAGGTTAGTTTGACGTTCTCCCCTCGTCCCAGCCCTGGGTTCTCGCTTCTGTAGTTGTTCCCTTTGCCATTCACGATGACGCTCACTGAACCAAACGATTTTGGTTTTCGGTTCAGTACAGAGAGAGGAGAATGGAACAGGAGAAGGAGCTTCTGTTGAGCCAAAACACATGGCTGAACACCGAGTTGAAGGAAAAACGTGAGGAGCTGCTCTCACTATCCCGGGAAAAGGGCAGCGAGATCCTTCAACTGAAGTGTAACCTGGAAAGCAAGGAAGATGAGGTAAGTCTCTCAATAGAATTTTGAACGTTTTTAAACATTATTAGTCCTTTTTATTTTGTATTTACTTTAATTGTACTTTTTATCCTCTACAGGTCACCAAACTTCAAAGCCAAGTGACTGCCCTAAAAGCGTCAAGGGAGAACTTCCAAAAGCAAGCAGAAGACTTGATTAGCAAGCTGAAAGACGTAAGTGGCTAACTGGCTATGGCTGTCTTGAAACAGGTGCCAGGCTTTTGGTCTAGACTGTGCCCCTCTTCCTTAGGAGAAAGAAAAACAGGCGTCGATGGAGGAGAAGTTTCGGAACGAACTGAATGCACAGATTAAACTCTGCGACTTGTACAAGGTAATGGGAGAGCTTCTGGTATGCTGTACGCCGCCTGCCGTGTTTATGGTTAAGTTACTTTAGGAAAGGCTGGAGGCTGGTTAAGGTCCCATTCTGACTCTTCTGCTGTGTGGTGCCAATGTCCCTCCAGAGTGCGGCAGCAGACTCTGAATTAAAGGGTGACGAGCTCAGCCAAGCCGTGAAGGAGCTGCAGGGGCTGCTGAAGGAGGCAGGGGATGGTAGGTGGTGTTTTAAGGGAGCTTAAGAAAGCACTGTCCTAAGGTAGTGGGTTTATGGGGTTATGATGCGGTGTGTGTGTGTGTGTGTGTGTGTGTGTTTGTGGGTGTGTGTGAGATGTGGGGGTGGGAACACATACTAGAACACTTTTACATGCTTGATTGGGTTTTGGTTCATTGTCGTGGCATTTTAAATTACACATTTATTAATCAGGAAATGTTTTTTTTTACTTCCTATTTTGACTAAATTAGCAACAATACCATAGGATGCATCCTGAATGTAGCTGAAGTGTTTACTGGTTTCACTCTTCGATGCAGCTAACAAAGGTGTGGAGGCAAGGCTGCTGGAAATGGAGAAGTCTAAAGATAAGCTGGATGCTGAACTGAAGGAAAAGATCCAGAGTTTGGAAAAAGAGCTGGAAAACGCCAATGATTTACTGTCTGACCCCAAGCGTGGAGGTGCGACAATTGTTCAGAAGTGGTATTTTTTTGGATGTATGTACAATAAACATCAGTGAGTACGTGGAGTGGCTCATATGACGATCAATCCCTGTACATTGTACATTTGTACCTGCAGGATCAGCATCATTCACAGAACAGCTGACCACGATGTCCCCAACTGCGGCAGCAGTGTCAAAGATGGTTAAGCCCGGCATGAAAATAACAGAGGTATCGAAATCGCTTCATTAACCCGTATCATTAAATGAGTGTCTGGTTGACTTGAAGTCACAATTTGAGTCCCGTATCACCTGACCTGAAGGTGTACAGTGCTTATATGGAGGCTCAGGAGCAGCTGCAGCTGGAGCGCATGGAAAACAAGAGGGTGAACCAGTACCTTGATGAGATCTTGAAGGAGGTGGAGGCCAAGGTGCCCATGCTGAAGCGCCAGCGCGATGAACATGAGCGGGTTCAGAAGTCCGTAGCCAGTTTGTCCTCTAGGCTGGAACAGGCCATGAAGGTAAGGTCTGGTCATGCAGAGTGAGAATGTCAGGGATCTGGATCTTCATAAACGATTGAATACTGAGCGTGGCTTGGTGTTTCAGGAAATGCATCGCCTGCAGAAAGAGCGGGATGAGGCCAGCAAGCACTCCTCTGTTTTGGAAAGGGATAATCAGAGGCTTCAACTACAGCTCGCCGACTTGTCACAGCAGGTCCGTAATTAAGAACTACGTATTTGTCAGGAATTAACCTTAAATTCGGTTGCAAAAAACACCCTGGTCTCTCGCTGCAGGTCCGTGTCCTGCTGATTGAGCTGGAGGAAGCACGCGGGAATCACGTCATCCACAACGATGAGGGTGCCAGCTCCTCCGACGTCAGCAGCACCTCGGAGGTCATCTCCCAGCACCTGGTGACGTTCCGCAGCGTTGAGGAGCTTCAGCAGCAGAACCAGCGTCTTCTGGTGGCTCTCAGGGAATTGGGAGACGCGAAGGAGCAGGAGGAGGTGGAGACGACCTCTTCAAGGTAGTATCTTCTGATGTTTTGGTTTAGTTAAGCCACAAGGTCCTTCGAATGACTACCTGCATGTTTCTGCGAAATACCAGTACAGTTGTCCCTCCAGATGCACAAATTTGATTTGATAGTTTCTCTTATTTGCGAGTTGGCCATGAAAAAGTAAATGGTAATATATCTGGAGCTTGTCGAAAGATGGCAGTAGACTGTGGAATCTCACGTTTCTCTCAATAACTTAGACGTCTCAGTGCCGTTAATTTGCATTTTTAATAATTTAGATAGTTTGTATCTTATGTAAAAAGGTGTATATATATACTGTAGGAAATAAAGCAATTTGACATTCATAGTGTACAGTACAATTTGTTTAGAAATTGATATTAGACTTTTTATGTTATTGTTCAGGCTAAAAGACTTATGAGTTAAGGTCAGTAGTACCAAAGTATTATATGCAAATTTTCATATTTGTAGGGACCATCTGTCCCAAAATCTCATGCATGTGAAGGGATGACCTGTAAATACTTTAAGGCAGTGATCATCCAAAATTTTAATTGTGGGGACCGCTTTCCCTCATTTGGCTAATTTTGGCACCAAGATTTATGCTCCACTTTACCATAGTATAGGCCGAGCCCTGGAAAGTCCTTCATTGAGAGTGTTGAGGCTGTTTTAGTAGCTATGTAGCCTCCTTGGTCACCTGAGGATGCTCCCCGCAGGGTGGCAGAGCTCGAGGTTAATCTGGAGAAGGCGCAGCATGAGCTGGAGGACCTGCAGGAGCAGCGGCGCCACCAGATGCAGCTGGTGGAGTCCATCGTCCGGCAGCGGGACACGTACCGGGTCCTGCTGGCCCAGACCACGGGGGTCAGCTTCCCAATCCAGGGTGAGTGTGACGCCCAGTGTGTTGGGCTGGGGCAGTCGGTTCTGGCGCCATTTTGGTGCTTGGATATAGTGGATCAATATATTTTCGACCCCTGGTGACAAATTCAGGTTCTGGAGTAAAGTTAAGCTGATCTAGGTTGCTGAAATAAACTGCGTTAGAGGATATTGCCAATTAGTCCACGATACAATACCACTGTCAGTATTCAACACATCAAGATTATACACTGAT